AGGGGATGAATCATCCCAAGCCCGAACCGCTGCTGAGCCTTTCCCCCGGCGTCACCCCAGCGGGTGGCAGGGCGCTGGGAGTACTCCTCCAGTGCCCATTCCGCACCCGGCAAAAACGCAGCCGTGCAGCTAAACGTCTGGGTGCTCGGCGCAAAGTCGAGGCGCCGACATCGCATCTTCCCAGCCCCACGCGATCCGTGGCAGCCCTGTATTTGTTAAGGGCTCGTCCCAAGAGATCTGTACCCGTTTACAGATAACTCGGTCACCTAGCACGTCCCCATCGCCACCTTCTTTTACAAGAACAGCATTTTCTAAGGTAGAAACCAATACGCTAACTGCCATGCTGTTTTTATTGCTAGCTTTGAACGCCGAGTGCTCCCCGTTACCAACACAGAACGTTGCTGCCTCGTGTATATTTTACAATCTGTTTGTAGAACTGCAGATTCAGGTTGTTTAGAGGCTGGCATCCCTTGCACAGTATTTCTCATGCAAGAGTATCTCTGCAAGATGAAAGCAAATGACAGCAGAAAGGACAAAGTGGGTAACCCAGGGTGATCCCTCTCTTACACACATTGGGCTGAAGCCACTTTCAGGAAACATGTGCCGAGGGATAAAGAATGGGAAGTGCACAACCACCACTGCATGCAGCAGTTACAAACCTTCCTTCAACAGAAAAACTGTTCAATCTGCCCCTTGGAACATTAAGGGGAACAGCTCAATCCAAACTGAGCAAGCTAAAGGATGGCAGAATTACCAACAGTGGGCAACTGCAGATGAGGAGGGAATGCAGCAGCACTTTGGTAGAGCTCCCTCCCTTTTACACATGCCCATGGTAGTGGAAACAGCATATATGAACTACCTTTTTTTTTTTTTTTTTTTTTTGAACAGCACACTTTGCTGGGCTCCAGGTGCAAAGAACGGCTGTCTCCTGAATTCACATGAGGTTTAGGACAGAGCACAAAATAAGAAAGAGAATAAGCAGTGAAGCAGTATCATCCCTTCCAGGCAAAAAGCACAGGCTAAAAATCCACTGTTTCCCATGGTTCAGAGAGATACAGTGTATTTTTCAAGTTTCAAAATAACAAGATCCAAAAGCACTAAATACACGCAAAAGAACAAGTTGCATACTATCACGCCCCTCCTTCCCAAAAAGGAGAAACTTTTCAGCCACTCAGTAGACTACGCCTGTGTTGAAAAGGTTATTTGACAGTATCAAAAGTTTTGAAACTACAACTGAAATGCAGTTGGAAGAAAAAGCTACAAAAACTGCCGAGATCCAGGTGTAAGGCCTAACAGGAACTAAACTGAAAGAGCAGCAATTAATCTTTACCTACATATGGAGAAGGCAATGTAATAAAAACTGCATCTCCACAGTCAGAGTATTTTTGATGGATAACACTTGTGAAGTTCTGCACAAATTCTCACACAGAAGCACTGACCCTGGCTATTAAACACAACGGTAAGAGCTTCCATTTGGTAGGAAAGCTTACTCTGAAAAGTGTTTCTTTCATGCTACAGACCTCATTTCTATCACCAAAATAAAGAAAAATGAAAATTAAAAACCCTGCAACATAGCAGCTGTCATCTTATATTCAACAACACAGACAGCAGTGCATGCAAACAAAACAGGAGCCTGCAAACCTCTGGTAAATAATTTTTTAAAATTCCCTGAAGATGAAAGGGACAGGAAGTAGCATATTGACTATTTTGATTTTTCTTTTCAAAAACTGTCACTCCAGTACTGTAATTGGAATTTCTGCTTAGCAATACAAGTTTTGTAGCAAACATACTAACTACAGATACATACACTATGAGGCAAAAGTAGCCTTTAAATTGTGGGTAGAGCTGTGTAAAACACCATTGAAATTATTCACAGTTTGGACCGAGCTTTGTGAGATAAGGAGTCTGTTGATAACTTGCACGCTGCCTTAAAAATTACAAATAATTAACCTCTTAATGGCTTGGATTATACATTTCTACACAGAATAGATTAAAGAACTGACTTACTGTAGCTTTACTCACTGTAGATCTAAAAGGTCTCTATTTGTTGTCCTCACAGAGAAGCATACACATTACCCACTTTCCATATTTAATGCCCAAATACACCTGTTTAACAGAGTGTACTTTTCACTACAAGTAATTAGATTCAAGATATCACTTTAAATACTTCAGTGACACATGAAATAACTATTTCTCAATTCCCCCCAAATCATGTTCACAATTCTCTCCCCCAATAACTAGCAGAAATGTGTTGTATCATTTTGTCCACATTTTCATAATATAAAAATATGATGCTGAGAATGTGGAATTTATGCAGAGACCCTCTCTATTATTTGACTATTTGTTAACTCATTTTGATCTTTCTATATGCTTACTATGGCTCAACCGAAAGTGTTTAATGAAATTAGTCTAAATTCCAATATACTTACATTAAGATGTCAGTGACAGTAGCTCCCTATGATCCATAATCAACTTCTTTAACTCTGAAGATCAAATTCACTTCCATTTACAAAATACCTTTAGGAAAAACTGTTAATTGATTCAGAGAATTCACACAGTATGCAACAGTATGCAACTTAATGCCTTCTGACAGAACAAGTTATGTTCAAATTGTACTGGTTTATTTACAACTGTAGTTTATAAACAGTAACACAAACATCTTTACATGAAAAAAATCTCATTGCTAAAGTAGGCACAGAGTCAGAGACTCTTCAGGATATTTTCAGGATATTTTCAGAAGTGAGTAGGAAGAGGAAAATGTAATACAACAGCTGCTGGGCAAAACTATAAATACATGAGCATTGGCCCAGGTGCAATTTCATGCAAATATCTTCAACAGTTCAAGTTCTATTGGTGTTTACTCAGATACTAAGAAGAAAAAAAAAAAAGGAATTAGTTCCGGAATTAAGGTGCCCTAGCTTGATTCCTAGTAAAAGAACTTAGAATAACTGTTTTTTATAAAGGTCAGTTTAATTTATTTTACCTCCTGATGATGTACCAATTCACAGGTTTTGATTCAAATACTCAGAAGAGACTTCATGCAGCAAAGCTAATCCCTATTATCTTTATTTCACAGTTTTTGGTAATTTCCACATCAGCCTACAAAGATGCTATGCCTCATCCATAAGGACATTCCTGTACTGAGCTTTTTAATAAGAGAACCATTCTTGGAACAAGTGGAAAGCTGCTGATAAACAATCACGTAGTTGCCACCTCTCAAATATTAATTAATTTAAAAGATGTTAGATAAAAGAATATAAACAAATGCTTGAATCAATGAAGGCAACAGGTAATGAATACATTTATCACAGGTACATAGCACTTGAATCTCTTCACTTTATTTGTGTGCGTTAATTTTCTTGCTGAACACACCTCCGATCAGCACATACTCACTTCTGTGCTGAACTGAATGTTTTTAAAGGTCTAATTATTATCTCAGACATTTTGTTTCTGAGGAGCAAGGTAACTTGTTTGCAACTGTCATATTCTGCCATGAAGAATTAACTTCCATTTCAATGCACACTCATCTTTACAAGAGAAACAGCCTTAACCTATGAAATGTACAATTTTGCATAATTAAAAAATCACAACCCTGTAGTAAAAGCTTATTGCGCACAGTACATTTGGGTATTTAAAAATACCCTTACCACCAATTCCAATTATTTAACGTAGTAGTGGATAAGACTTTTTAAAAAGTTAAATTTACAACTTGCTTGCATTTTTTCCATTTATCTGCAGCCCAAGCTGGACTTAACCATTTTTAGTGAGAAGGAACCAGTATTTCTAAGATTTTTATCTGCTCTGCTCATAAACCTAAGTTTTTAATCACTCCTTGATACTACCCAGTAGGCAAAATCAAATTTATAGACTGTAGGCAATGGAGACATTTTACTTTCAAGGGACAGTAATTTAAAAACCATTCTGTTTTCAACCGCTTCTCCGTATCTGGCAGTGCTTCATTCCTTTGACACACTTAATGCGAATCCAGCTGCATCTTCTCTTGCAAAGATGCAGATCGCTCACCTTAAGGCTGCATTAAACAAACTGACATTTATAATAAACATTTCTTCAAAACAAAAAGATATAATAAAAAAAATAAAAATCATGTTCAGAAATTGATAATAATTTACCCTATCTTAAGCCTGCTACTCAGGCACTCCCATCAGCAAACAGAAAAATACTCTTAAGTTAGTATTCAGTTGGGAAACAGTCAGCTTGTGTCCGCATACAGTATCTTAGTTGCTTCTTCTTTATAAACTGTTCTCTACAAAGTCTTTAGTTATTAACTCTCCAAGGCATCCAATACTTTCATGATCTGTTGTTTTATGGCTTTGGTAGCATCACCTGCATTTGGAATCAAATACCTTAAAAAAAAGATTAGAAAAAGCCATCATTAATTCACTATAAAATTTTTGAGTATCAATTTCGTAATTCTTGTTTTGATTTTTCCTCTGACACAAACTAGGAGGAAGGAGGAGGGGAATATATTAAAATGAAAAACTACTGAGAAAATAACATTTATTTCCTGTTTATACCATGAAACACTTTCTGTTTGTGAACTTAGAACTGTTGAGGAGTACTTCACAGAACTGAAAAGTTCTTAATTAATTGACAATGGTATAGATCAGGCAGTTCAAGATCTCTACAGATAGCACTGTCCGACTGAAGCATGACAGTCCTCTTTTTTTGTTTGTTTGGGTTTTTTGTTGTTTTGTTGTTGTTGTTGTGTTTTGTTTGTTTGTTTTAAATTTCTATAGATAGCTCTAGATCATTTATTTATGATCCTTTCATAAATCTTCTGGATTTGCTCCAGTCAACAAGGTGGTGATGAAGTAATTCAACAAGCAGCAAAGTTCTCTGCAACATTTTAATTTATCTTTGTCTGACCTACTACCAAACTAATTTCATTCTAAGCAGCGAACAGGCATAGAACAACTTCCCTAGTTAACTAGAAAACTCATCTCCCGCTTCTTGTGAAAACAGAGCACCCGCTGCACACAGTTCTCCTCAAGGAAGAGGACAAGGAAATTTCCAACTGATGTCAGCAACTTTGTTAAAACGGTGCCAAGAAACAACAGGCTACACCAGTCCAATACAGCCACCCCTCTGACTTCCCCCCAGTCTTAAGCATGCAAATGTCGAGCAAGGCAATACCTAACTTTCAGGGACCAGGTTTCAGGGGTTCAGAGTTTTGAGGTTAGGCTTCTGGACTCCTTGTACAATGCATAGGAAGAGTTAGATGTCTCAAAAAAGATACCATAGAAGAAAGACCACTCTCTTAAATCCCACTCTTCACAAATCCATACTTTAGGGGGCAGATAGTTGTCCACTTCATTTTCATTTAAGACATATTACAAAAAAAAAAAACCTCTTGCACACATCCCCTTCCCAACAACTGTCATTGCAGACCATGGAGTTCCTCTCTGCTGGGTCTTGTAACTATCCTCATTCTGCTGGCAGATCTTTTTTCTAGTTCACATCTGAATTACCTATTTCTAAATAAAAACTTTACTTTTGAACTGAATTCTGGGAATTACAGCATGCCCTTGATTTCCAGTTGACAGCTTTCTGTATATCATTACTACTTACACCTCTGCTACTGAGATGGCTTACCTTTCAACTGCCAAAATTTCTATGCCTGAAGTATTGCTATTTCCATATTTAAACGTGATCAGTTCCGGGTGTTTCTTCTTTGATGTGATTTTGACTACAGAGTTGAGTGCCTGTCGAGACTGTATGTAAGCCAGTCCCTTTCGCGATGGAATCTCTCTCAAACAGTACATATGAGTTGCTGTTACTAGGAGATGACTTGAAGAAAAAGAAAAATACAAATGAAATTTGCTAATGAACTAAATATCAGCTATTTAGAAAGTTAAATTCTACAAATAAGCTACATGGAGAGAGCTAAATAAAACAGTTGCCAAATCTAAGAAAGAGTTTTAAGACTTAAAATCTGTACTTTAGAAAAGTCTGCAAAATACTTCAGATTTTCTTTGAGTACTGTATCATAGCCATTTCAAAAACAAGCATGGCATCCTCAACAGCATACAAAAAGTGAGCAGTTAACATCACCACCTCAACGCAACAGCCATGAGTGCTATCAACAAAGATCACAACCACCAGTACTATGCCAGCCCACGCACAGAGTAAGGAAAATGTCTCCAGCCTCTCTCTTTCATCCTTCAATCATACCCTAACCCCATCCCTCCATCTACAGAGCGGCAACTCTACATGTGGAGCATCAGACCTAAGTTATCAGGACGTGCTGGCACTCCATGATGGTCAATCACTGTACAAGCACTAACATAGAGATGCTGACCTGCCAGCTCAGTTCAAGACCCACTTTTGCTTTCTTCATGGAAGGAATGCATGTTCAACTAGTGGTGGGAAAACACTAGTTGAGTTCCAATTCAGTTTGAGAAATGATACTACGACAGGTTACTAATCATACACCATATAAAAGAAATCTAATGGGAAAATAAAATTATTAATAAAAGACAAGAACAGACCATAATGCAAGAGAAAGCCTATCATAATTTTCTGTTATCCAGATTCAACAGGATTTGTACTCTTTGGGGAAGCCAAGATACAGCAAGTACCATGTTCTGCTCTTGCAGCATTAACAAGGTCACTGAATCTTAGGGGCAAGATGAGTGTGTAGTACAAGGCACAGAGCCAAGTAGACAAGAAAAACCAGAGCCACAGGTACACGGGTCTTGAAAAATAAGCTATGTATACTGAGAATATTTTTCTTACTATCTTGTTTTGCAAAGCAAAACTTCATACTAGGTTTTGTATATAATTACCATTCTATAACACTGCAAATATAAGAATCCAAATATAGTGGTAACATTTTGTTCTCGGTTGTTTCGCACCTTCATTTCCTAGTTTAATATCAAGTATAACTTAATTGCCCAGTATTTTTTTTTTTTAAATGTGTATCAAGACAGACATTTTCATTAAGCTTAGGACTAATTCCAGTACCTGGGAAACATATGTCCATTTTCTTTTACTTCATTACAGGCGAAGTTATACTTCACATCAGGTTTATTTATCCATGTCTGGATGTTGACAACCTCTTTTCGATCATCATCTGACATTGAGGAGCTATCAATTTCATCTATTATGAAGGGAGGTGGTAAAAAAAAAAAAAAAAAAAAAAAAGAAAATATTTTCACACAACATCAGACAACTTTTCAACTCACGTAAACCCATAGTAGTTACACTGGTTCAAACCAAGGTCCACCTAGCTCCCAAGAGTGTCCATAAATAATTGTTCAGAGGGAAGAAAGAAAAAGGCATGCATATCTGATATTTCTCTTTTAATTCTCTCTCAGCAGACAACTATTTTCAGCTCAGGGGATTTCTTAGGCTGGTTTGATTTGTCCATTCAGTAAAGTTGAATAGATCTCTTTTACATGGACTTGTCCAGACTTTCCCTGAAGCCATGTAAACTTCTTGCATCTACGACACCTGTATCTTTTGGCAAAGAGTAACAAAAACATGTCAACTACATTCCAGGAAAACATTCTCTTGTGGCTTCTAGTTTCTTGTACAAGAAGAAGTAAACATCTGTTGATCCCTTTCCAGACTAGGCATTATTTTTGTGGGCCACTTTTCCTCCCCTAAATTGCCTATTCCACATAACAAAAGTTCTAATATTCAGTTATGCCTGTTGTGAAAGCCATTTCACAACTTTCCTCACCCTTCTTACCCCTCTCTGAACCTTCTCCTGTTCAAACACATTGTTTCTGAGGTAGAGGATCAAGACACACAATATAGACACACAAACTATAGGTTTATACACAATATAAAGACACAATATAGACACACAATATATAAACCATAGGTTTATACACTGACATAATGACCTCTGGTTTATTCTCTGTTCCTTTCCTTATAATTCATAGCATTTGATTTGCTTTTCTGATTGCTAATGAGCACTTATAAACCTATTATAAACCTACTGCTCCTGGACACAGCCAAATCAGTCTCCTATTTTGTATCTGAAACTAGAACTGTTTTTTTTCACATCTTTCTCACCTCACATTAATTCACACTGAATTTCATGTGCCATTTTATTGCCTGGTCACTCAGACTAGCAAAAGACTCCTGCAATTCTTCAGTCTGTCCTTGGTATTTTGAATAACCTTGGGTCATTAGCAAAAATTGTTGTCTTTGGGTTCACCTCCTTTTCTAAGGATATTTAAGAACACACTCAAAACCAAAATTTTCAGCACAGACCTCCGTGAAACACCCAAAACTCCTGCAAGTGTTATCACTTAGTTGCAAAATACTGTTTCAATGTCTAAATATGGTGATTATGTTTACGTAGTAATTTTGGTGCTACATTAGAAGAATTTAAGCAATCTAGTTATCTAAAACATGAACTATATTAAAACCATAGAAATTACTCCCAGAAATAACTTTGAAGGACACCTCTTTAAAGTGTCTTTTTCAAAGCCAGTTTTCTACACTTTGTTAAACTATTTATTTCAAAGCAATTCAGAATTATAGCCACACTTCTGAAAAGGTTTTCACTGAAAAAATACATTATGAAATTGAAAGGAATGGAACAAAATCTATCCTCATTTCACAAAATCATAAAACAGTTGAGGATGGAAGGGACCTCTGGAGGTCATCTGGTCCAACTCTCCTACTCAAGGAGGGCCATCTAGAGCAGGTTGCAATTATTATAGCTGATTACATTTTTTTACTACAAAAAGCCCATTAAAACTTCACAAAACAATTTTACAGAAACAGGTTCACTTTTTGCATTCTTGTGTACCAAAATAACATACATTTCACTTCATATGTGTTGGCTTTGCTTATTCAAATCACTGCAGTAATTCTGCTTACTTACTGAGTCTAATAGTGCTTTTAAAAGCAAATGTAGATAGAAATTAGCAAACAACCATTACTGAAAATATGTTCTAGACAATTTGTCTTTGAGGACCTGGTTTTCTGAAACCATATAGACTTTGCCAAACACTATTATGGATGCTCAAAGAACTGTGCAAACTTAATTACATGGCATTTGGAGAAGTATCTTGTTAGTGTTAAAGCTTCTGCCTGATAGTTTCATTTTGCTCCTTCCCAATTCTTATAGCAGACAAACAATGATCAACTGTTTGTTATCAATCTTATTTAAACAACTCCAGATCCTATGAATCTCTTTCATTAATCTTCCTAAATTATTTCTTTTCCAGGTCAAAGATTCTTAGTCTAGTCATTTGTTTCTCACACGGAAGCTGAGTATGCCTTTTGGTCACAGAACTGTTACTTGTGAGATGATGATGGTTGGGAGTGAGCTAACACTACCAGAACAAAACCAGGACAGCAGTAGGTCTGCACCATTCTAGCATTAGCACGAGTCTCAAAAAAAAAAAAAACCCCTTTGTGAAAAGTGTGGTGTTCCAGTTTTGCCTGTAATTTTTCAACTAGATAAAAAAATTAAAGAAAAATTGCACATTTTTTCTGCAGCATTCTGCATGCACATCAAAAGATGAATCAATTATTAATAGATTCAATGCAGTCTTAAGTCTAGCTCCAACTATATTTTCAGAAATTCAGATGGTTACACTTAACTGCCAATACTAGAGATTCAACCTGAGATCCATCAGCCAAACTAGGTCCTTTACATTTTGCTTACTGTTGTGAGTAATAAAGGTACAATTGCAGGTTTACACGTACAAGACCAGTGTAGAAAAACAGATATTTACTACAGAAAAAACAAGTGAACACGAACGATCCACTAGATTCATCTGATTCCATTTCTTTCTGTTGGCTGTTTGGTGCCTACCACAAAATCTTTTTTATTTAGTCTGCTACTATGTATTTAAAGAGGGTGCTTCTTTCTTGGTTGGTCCTAGGCACCACCATAACAAACATGATCAATGATAATAGCTAGAAAAATGCCATATTGTAAGACAGATGTAAAATACGCTCTTATGATTTAGCCAAACTTAATAATTTTGTCTAAATAAGCTAATCTAGGTAAGAGGAAAATCTTCTACTGTACCAGTATCGTATTCTTCTTCATCTCCGATGCTGAATACTGGTTTCACACCACGGTAGGGTTTTCCTACTCTGTCACTGCTGCTGACATGTCTGTTGGCAATGAAAAGGGCAGAAGAGGACATGGGACGCGAGAAGAAAAGTAATTTTAAAACTGATGGTATGATTCCTATAATGACATATTAGCAAAATGTAAAACACAACTGTGCAACTGATAAGGACAAGAGAATTTCATAAAGCAGCCTGCAAGGAAGCTGTGACTGACCCATCAAGCAATTTGGTTAGTGAAAGCATGTATTTCAGAGTTACTTGGCAAGGCTGACTGTTGTTAACAAACAAAGAAATACTACTTTGTTTTAAAAAGAACTTCTGGTCACCTTCTCAAATGACAAAATACATTAGAGACCTGAAAACTGACAACATGCTATGAAGTTTCTAGCATGAAACTCTGAAATATTTCTGGATAGTCAGGGCAGCTTTGTAAGGATGTCAAATTGGGATGGAGGAAAAATGAAGACTATTAACTAACATGTCCGGAAGCTCATTTTTCTGGTTAATTCCTCAAAAGATAACAAAATAACTTAAGCACTTCAAAGTGGGGTTATTATAAACCATTCACTGTAGTGTGAACTCTGACTTCCTATCCATTACTTTCTCTAGCATGAGCCCAATCTCAAAATCTTTGGTCATGCAATTCCTACTGCTAAAATCCCAGCATCACTGAGATTTCTGCATAGATATTGACCTCAAAAATCACATTTAAACCTACTTCTACAGATCATGTTAAATGACACAAATACAACTGAGTCTTAATGTTTGACAGTAACAGTTTGCAAATCCTGAGATATTTTAAAGCTCCAGCTCAGAGTGCTGAGATTAGATGGTCACAGCTGTCATGTTAAAAGTTCTGGCCCTCAACTGCTGAGAATACCTGAAAAATACGAGAAAACCTAAGGGTTCAGAAAGCCACAAAATAGGGAATTGCTGAAAAAAATAAACAGTTCATGATTTTAGCCTTTAGAACTGGCAACATGTAGTAGTTTAAAAAAACAAAACAAAACCAAAACACGCCTGTCCCTTTCTCCCATTTCAATTTCTATAACCTCCCTCCCCATAACATCTATTCATATTTCCTAGAAACTATAAGCCCTGGTTCCTGTTTTAAGTGTATTCACAAACTCCAGTTTACATGCTACTGTAGAACCAAGCTAGAGAGGCAACCTCTTTAGTAATACATACACGTATGCTAGTACTTATGTATACCTGAAAGCGTATTTGAAAGTTAAAAAAGGAACCTACATTTTCTACAGCTAAAATTTACTAACGTAGACAAAACAAGGAAATGTTTAACAGGAAAAAAAAACCAGAAATGCATTCTACAATGAAACAAAAAATAAACATACAAAAACATGCTCATTAGTGTTTAAGACAATAAGCATCAATGACACTGACAATTCAAGAGGGCAGTGCTTCTATATGGAGGCTTTTGTAAATATGCTTTAGTAATACATAATCAATTCAGTAAGAAGCAGCACATTTAAATAGTGTAAAATTGAATTACACAGAGAGGATTTAAGAGAAGATCTCATTGGTGTTTATAGATCAAAGTTAGTCAAGACAAGAGAAAGTAAAAAGCTACTTTATAAAAACCTGGTAACATCTTAAGCTAGAAATGAATTTCCTTTAACCTGTTTGCATGGAAGGCCATCATTACATTGTTACAAATTGAATGCAATTCCCTTTAGTGGCAAACCGGCAAAATGAAATATATTGGTGATAAACACAAAGTGGATCTAATTGAATGGATGGAAAAAGAATGCCATTCCATGTTTTTAAGGGCTGCAATTTTAAGAGAATAGTCTATTGATCCATAGTGTGAGCAAATTTATTATTGCATCATCACAATGAAAGGAGATAAGCAATACGAATGAAAGGAGATAAGCAATACGAATGAAAGGAGCAAGTAAAATAACCAAAGTATAATCTCAATATATCAAAAATTCTTGGTTACAAATACAGATTCAAGTGTCTTTCAGTCATCAAACACAGTCACCAAGTGTTTTAAGTTGGAATTTTAACGCTATCTTACCAGATTCTAAAAACTGATCAACAAAATGTGGGGAGAAATCCCCATGATCTTTAGGATTTCTAAATTAACAAAATGTATTATGTGCTATTGGGATATTCCCACTTTTTTTTTTTCTTAAAGAATACTGGTTAACATTACTAATGGTTTTGGTGACACAACACCATTCTGTAATGCTCATGGGTAAATCCTATCTCAAAGTATGTGCAAACTACTTGAAAGAAGAACTTGTCAAAAATCCTTGAAAACCCAAACAGTATTTTAAATCTTCATTAATTCTTCCAGCACCAATCTTCATGCTTTTCAGTCTATGAGGATCAAAAGCTATAACATAGAGTTTCTAAAGTATAACCAAAGTTCTGAGGTCATTATGCATGAGCTGTCCTTCATTTATCACAAGCAATTTTATATAAACTCAATTCACAAGAATTATTTCTGAAATAATTATAAGGCAGTAAGTCTGAGACAAATGTGAAGGGACTCCAGATTTGTGTGAAATGCAGTAGTTATGTGAAAAAGATGAGGGAGAGTTGCAAGGCATATTTACTTATTAACTCAGCATTTTTCTTTTCCCAGTAATGAGCACCTCTGTTTCTATCAGCATATTCTATCACCGTGTGATGAGAAGCATAAAAATTCCAAATTTCCAGACAGAGTATCTATATTGGTTCCCTGTTATAGCTAAGCTCAGATGATGCTTTATGAACAGTTTATAACAAGTCCTCTTCTTAGTTATAGTCTCTCTTGTTAAAACCTTAAGCCATAAGTTGTTCAGTAATTGCTCTTGGTGTCTTTCACTAGTACAAGCGAAATAAATAAAATGTATATAGGAAATGACAAGTTAAAAAAAAAAATTCCATAAAACACAACAGTAAGGAAGACAACAGAAATAACAAAGCAGAAACTAAGAGAAGAAAGCACTGCCAATACATTACTTTTCCTCTAGTCCCCTGACCAGTACTTGTAAAAACCAATAGCTTTAATATATTCAAAAACCCTAAATTAATATAAAAACATGCGAGCAATTTTGTCAGTGTAACCAATGCTTACAAATACTGCGATGCCATGCTAAATACAACAAAGGTGGTTTTAGTCAGACTGCTTAATTGTCAAGCTTACCGCTCCAGGCTTGCTCTGTCTGGCCAGGGAATATTGAAAGGTATTCTACAGTACATTGGGGCAGAGGACAGAACAAAAGAATTAAAAAAAAAAAGTTTAAAGGAAAAATCTAGATAAATAACTGAAATGCTCTATATTGGCAATGTATCTTCTTCAAGGAGGATGCTTATAAATAAAAGCAATGCTTAATAACAGCTAGCCATGAGGTAAAGAAATATTTGTAAAAATTCTACTAAAAGATGCATTTTTCATGCTATGTATGGCTTACATATAAGCTTACTTGAATTCTTCACACAACAAAAGCTACTACCAAGTGCTATTTAAGAATTTTTTGCCTCTAATTGTGAAACAATAAAAATAATTTAAAAAATAATTTTCCAACACAAAAAGAAGTAACAACCTTTTGATTAGTTACAAGACTACTAAAAACTACTGTTCGTTTGGCATGTATTTTAAATCCTGCTATCAAACAAACACTAGCTCTGTAAAATTCTTGAATACCAATGTCTTAGCAACATACAACTCCAAAGACTGCATTTTAAAGAGCTCTAAAATAGGCTATTCAATTAAAGCTTTGACAGATGAAAGCTGTTATCCTTTTATCTAGTTAAGTATTTGGAATGATGACTTCTAGCTTTGAAAGTGTCTTTTAACATGTTAGCACATTCTCGTTCCCAGGTCCACCTGAAGATACAAAAAATGAATAAGAGTGGATTCTGGGTTTGAAAAGCAGCTTTACATCAGGACTTGAAAAATCAAGATCTTCAAAAAAGTTAACCTCAGTTGAAAAGATGGGGCAGTAAAAAAAACAAAACAGAACAAACCCAACCAAACAAAAAACCCTGTCCAGAATCCTTCTGTTATTCACCCATTCCATTAGAGTCAGGACGGGGAGAACTGAAATAAAAGTGAAATCATTCTTGTCTTTTAGACTGAATACAGAACCGACACATTATAAGAAGTCAAACTAACCATGCAGTGACGAATTCTAGATAAACATTCAAGAGAAAAGACTGCTCACACTGGCCTTGCAATACTAAGGCAGCACAGTAGGCTTACTGTGTCATGATAAAATTGTGAGGAGGGTAGGGGTAGGAAATCTAAAAGCTTAAACCGGAAGATAACTTTTGTTCCTAATTAGCACAGTCTTCACATTTACAAAACAGCCACCTGAAATGGGAAGTCACTCCTCACTGCTAATTCACAGTGAGATATAAATGACGCACCTGTCCACTGGAGTGGATGTGTTTTCAATAAAACTAATAACTTTTTCTTTCACATTCACAGATTTAGTCTTCAAAGCAACCGTCATTTTATTCACCAGGGACTTTACTCCTTTTCCATCACTTGAACCATTAGGAGAATCACCCTGTAAAAGTAACTCCTCTCAGGATTAATCATATAAAAATAATGTTATTTCATCTCCAGTTTGTTAAGAAAGGAGACAGACTATAAAATAGTAATCTATTTTTTGGTACTCGGTAGAACATTAATTACAGCATTAAGTATTCTTTTAGAGTTCTATCAAATGACAGCAACGATATGTGTCTGAGGTAAAGATGATCCAATAAAGCAAGCTTAACAAACCTTATTACTGAGCACTCTGCTTCGAAAATCTAGAGAGGAAGGAATTCTATTAATGATAAATTGTATCAAAATTAAAAGCCATATTCTATGTACAATCTATCAGCTATAGAAAAGAGACAATCTTGAGCTTTCCCATGAAACTGTATGCCAGTTTCATAGTAATTTATTCTCAGAGCGAAGAAAAGCCAGGAAAAGAATTGTCCATTACATATATTCTGCTGGAGAACGACTACAGCAAGTTCTTCTCTACAAGCTCTTCCTCTCAAGAGGATAAAAATGTTTAGGTGACTAGACAGTGCATATAGTTTAAATTAAACACACAACAGAAAACAATCATGACTTGCAGTAATGCACTTTACAGAACAGTATGAGGAATATGAAGAAAAAAATTCAGTACACCTGTGGCTCCCATCCCACTATACCACTTGAGCTTAAAATTCACTTACATCAACAGAGGAGTTTATGCTACTTCTTGAGCCTGAGGTACTAGCAATCCAGTGGCCATATCCATTTTCTGGTCCTTCCACATTGATATCTGCTAAGTGCTGCTGGAGGGCTGTTAAAAGGCCATTAAAAAACATTCAGAACTACACTGGAATTAGTCTGTTGATGAAAATACTGTATATCCAAGATTAATCAGTAATAATTTTTGCTCCACATGATTTAATAAAACAGATAAATTCAGATACCACTATAATAATCCCTGGCTTTTCTTTCAGTAGTACAAAGGCATTAGGATAATCTTTATTTTCCTAAAGAAAATAGTTAAAATACTGCAGCAACTAAAAATAAATCACTGATTTGATCCTAAAGATAGCTGTTATGACACTCCACATACTGACTACTAACGCCTCTATACTCAATATTGTAGCACAGATCTCTCCACGGTTGTAGAGCCTGATTGATTCCAGCAACATAAACTGCAGAATTATGAATGGATGATTTAAGAAAACACAACAATAATTAATAGTAATTATGAAGTAGCATCTTCATATGGATCTGCAATCTACAGAGGCTAAACATCAAGAATGATAAGTTAGAAGAAAGAGGGACTTTCCCCACTTCCTGTATTAATTTTTCACCATTTGGAAATGTGGGTAAGCCATAACAGCTAACCACAAATGTGCAAGTGCACAGTGTTGACTTACACAGAACAAAAACCTGACAAATGAGACCTATTTGCTATTCATTTAGCTGATTTCTAGCCAAAGCCTAATAAAAATATCAACAGCATTAAGATACCAAGTTTTCTCAAGCCAAAGCTCATTATTAATAAGCTTACCCATAAATCCTCCTTTGGCAATGCTTACATACTCCTTATTTTTCTGCAACAGAAAAGACATTTTTGGTTGAAGCAAAAATCTGTGGAACGAGTTTTGCAAGCATGATAATGAAACATGGGTTAATTTCATAAAAACTGTAAACTTGAGTAATGTAAAAAACAGTTAAGATTTTAAGGGGAAAATATTTTGCCATTTAGTATCAATGATATGTGCAGACACACTTTATTTCAGCTATTAAAACCAACAGCAATTTAGCTGTACCTGTAAGAAGTGTGCTAGCACCATGTTCATATACATATCTTCTTCTTCCCTGCCACTTCCCATGAAGCAGAGATGTTCCCCACCAGCTATGGAGCCAGACTCAATAGATTGTTTTTGTGCTTCTAATAGGGATTTTACAGACTGTGCAAATTCTGATGGGTTTTGAAGCATCTGTGGAATGAACAAACAAAAAGTGCTGTTTGACACCAACATACTGAAACACAACTTGTGAAAAGATACAAACTTTGAAAATGTTATAATTTGTTGAGCAGAAACAAAGCAACATCAGCACTGTATAAGACACCCACACACAAAAAAGACAGCCTGACCCAGACCTCATGTTACCATGGGAATGGTCCTTTTCTTCCTCACTCCACCTTCCTCTCCCCAGGAAAGAAATGCAGCTAACATTTGTTAGTTTATTTTTGCAGACACCAAATAACAGTGGAAAAAGTCTTTGCAACTTTCATATTGCATTAAGTTGGCAATATGGCTGAGGGACTGATTTCCATATTTACATATACTTGAGCACAACACGTTCAAACTTTGCAGTTTTGAAACCCTTTAACACCTAGAATTTCTAGGTGCTAGTAAGGTCTTCCCCTTGTTGTCCGCCCACTAAGCTTTTTCTCATTTACTTATCAAGATTTGGAAAAAAAATTACAATCAGGAGTACAAGGAGATACCTGGGATTCTTAGTACTCTCAAAAAGTTAAGGCTGTGGTCCCCTGAAGGCCTATTATGCATTCAAAAACAATGAGTGGCTATATGAAAGAGATGGAGAAACAAAGACTTTCTAAATACAGCTGAAATTTTAACCTGCTCTGGTGGGGAAGGCACTTACTTAAATTAATAAGGAAACATGGACCTGTAACTGGATGGGGGGGGAGAAAGGGGAGGAGGAATTCTCAGCCTTTACACTGGATTAAATTACGAAGTACAAAGTAACAAGTACACAACCTAGCCATCAGTAAGTCAACTGGAATTTTAACTGGGGTTCTCCTAGAGCCAGTGCTTTAATAAATAATAAT